TGTGATTGGTTAGCTGGGCCAGTGTGTGTTGTGATTGGTTAGCTGGGCCAGTGTGTGCTGTGATTGGTTAGCTGGGCCAGTGTGTGTTGTGATTGGCAGCACTCGGCACTCGGCACCTGGTCGGGAAATGTCATATCCCTTACTATAGCCGCCTGCGAGCTTCAGTGTAAATATTGCGTCAAAATCAAATCAATTCGAGCGTGATTTAAACCCGGATGATTGTAACCACTCTAAGTTCGTCTGCCTTGGGAAAGCTATTAGCTGGGCCAGTGTGTGTTGTGATTGGTTAGCTGGGCCAGTGTGTGTTGTGATTGGTTAGCTGGGCCAGTGTGTGTTGTGATTGGTTAGCTGGGCCAGTGTGTGCTGTGATTGGTTAGCTGGGCCAGTGTGTGTTGTGATTGGTTAGCTGGGCCAGTGTGTGTTGTGATTGGCAGCACTCGGCGCCTGGTCGGGAAATGTCATGCCCCTTACCATAGCCGCCTGTGAGCTTCATTGTAAATATTGCGTCAATATCAAATCAATTTGAGCGTGATTTAAACCCGGATGATTGTAACCACTCTAAGTTCGTCTGCCTTGGGAAAGCTAGCGCGTCTCCGACATAGTGATAACACTCGTTACCTTCTCTAGTGCAGCTCAACCAGGTCTCGTCCCATTCGTCGATCTTTGTGATTTCACAAATCCTGGAAAATATGCGTTGTAGTCCAAACGAGTTGTTCGTTGTAGTTTTTGAAAAGTGATTTGTGTATCTTTGAAGTGGACTTTGAGCTTTGTAACTTTGCAGATCTTTTTATGCTCAAACAGCAACATTACAGACTAACTAAAGTTGAAAAAGTGAAAAAGCATAATAGGACCCCTTTAATATTTCCAAATACCAAAGTATTTAAAAGTATTCCACCACTGTACCACATTACTTCTGTAAGGTCACTTAGTTCAAAGCATAAATGGCACAGTGATGGAAAAACATGGTGATGTTTTGGGACATCGAAATAAAACTGTAATGAAATTCATGAGCCATGTTTGTACCTGCGCGCACGCGCCTCCATCACTCACAATGCAAATAAAGTTCACCAAGGATGATGCGCGTGACCGACGCGAATATTTCTGTTTTTACCTGCCTGGTGAAGAGGATCGCCGCGTCATGGTGATGCTGATGATCGTCATCCAGCGGGTTCTGCTGGTTCTGCCACTTACAGAAGCTCTTGAGCGTCGCGGCGGCGTTTTTGGACACTTCGATCCCCTTTTCGTTCTCGGACAGAATCGCGACTTTAACCACAGACAAACGGATGGGATTCTCTATGCTGGCGTGCCCGTAGAGTTTGGACGCGATGGACGCCAGCTTCAACAGGTAATGCTGCAGGTCCTTCCCATACTTCTTCGTCATGGAAGCATCCGCGACCAGCAGCAGCTCCACGTGCCGCGCGCGAGACACGGAGCGCTTGCGTCGCGTCAGCGCGTTGGGCTTCACAAACTTCGTCCACAATCTGCGTCCGCGCGCATCCTCGTTACGCTTTTTATGCCTGCGCGTTTTGCGGTTGCGCGTGCCACAGCTGTGCCGCGCGGTCATCGCTTCGAAACTGAAGCTCTCGCGGGTGTAATAGTGGAGAGCGCGCGTCGCGTCGGCGTCCTCGACGATGTGCACGTCATTCTCATGCCCTTTCGCCCGAATGAGCGGCGTGATGGTGTATCGCGCGTGATCGACCGCGAAAAACCCATTAAGTCCGCCGCCGCACAGATTGAAAACCGCAAGTGACTCTGCGTTTGAATTGACGCTGCCGCGGTAAACGCATTCCCGACGCGGAGGCAGCGCGTCCACGTTCAAACCAAAGTGATGAGACAGTATAGAGTCGTCCCGCTCCATATCCAGCTGAAAGCGCTGCTCATCCATGTACAGAAGGTAACCGGCTTTTCCTCCCCCGTGATAAATCCGATCCACAGTGCGCACGACGCCGCGGGCAGGTGCGAGCAGAGACGCGTTTGCAGGTGGACGGAAAGCGCTGAACGCAACGGAACCGTCCAGAGCGCAACACAACAAAACAATCCGCCACATTATTCCATGTAGTTCAGTCCGGTGCAGAAAACTTTTGGAAACATTACAATCCGAAATACAGCTTTAAAATTACTTGCATGAGGAATTCGAGCCGTACTGATCCATGAGTCCCGGTGCACATCTCACGAGTCACGGAAATAAACACATGAAGGCTGGATGAGAGAGGAACGAGAATTAAAGTGAACTTGAAGAACAAAACACAAAGTTTCCTCTTAAAAGCACCAGAGAGAGAAAGAGAGAGAGAGAGTCCTGCCCCTTTGCGCTCGCTCTCCACTCCAGACCTCCTCCTCTCATTATTTCCCCAACTCAGTCTCTCTCTCT